AACAAAAAAAAAAAAATCTACATGAAATGGGTAATCATCCATACAGATCCTACCCAAATATGCCGAACTCATCGGAAGATGACAGTCCGTCTTCCGTAAATTCACGATACACACGAAATATGCAATTTTCTCAATTTCCTAGAATACAACTACAACGCCAGTTTCAAAATTTTCCTTTCCAAGTATCTGCACCAATGCCTTCTTATCCAAATTCACAAACTTCAGAACAACCTTCTTTTTCCCCATCACCAAATTTAATGACCATGAATCAATCTCAGTATATGTGGTCAATGCCGCCTCAATATGGCATTCCGAATGCATTTGGGATGCCTTATCAACAAGGAAATTTTATGTCGACTGGATTCTCTAGTAGCTTCATTGAAGTCCCAAGACTTCCATGATCCCGGAGGTTGAAGGACTCGACAACATTTACCTCGATACAGATTCAGACAACGCCAAAGAAGTTGAGCCTAAAAGACGGGGTAAAGCGACAGCAATACCGTGGACACATGATGAGGACGTTTTACTATGTCGAGCTTTTTGTACCATCTCAAGTGATCCGGTCATTGGCGCTCAACAAACGTCCGAAGGCTTTTGGAGGCGAATTATACAGTATTATAATGAAGCTGGTGAAGCACGAAACCTCATTCAGAGAACCATGGAGTCAGCAAAACCCCATTTTTATGCTTTCCATGGAGACTGTCTCAAATTTAATGCGTCAATAAACAGGTTTCGGGTTGATCAAAGAAGTGGTGAAAATGATGCAATTGTTTTGCAGAATGCACTAATGTAGTGGAATAGAGAGGGGAAAAAGAAAGGGGGCTTTAAATGGCTTCATTGCTGGGAGGTATTGAAAAATAATGTCAAATTTGATGGGGCATCTCAGACATCCCGAGGAGGAAAGAAAGCTAGAATATATGATACTGGAGATCACACTTCTGGCTCTGGGCAAGATGTCAAGCCTAGTGGCGATGGTGAGGACAGATATGTACGTCGACCAATTGGCCAAAAAGCAGCAAAGGCTGGGAAGAGAAAGGGAAAAACAACTGCAGGAGGAAGCACCGGTCCAGATGTTGAACGTCTATTGGCTGAGATTGGTCAGGTTAAAGAAATTCATCTGAAGAAACAAAAAGATTTGGAAAAGCTAGTTCGTATAGAATCATGGAAGACGTACAGAGGAATGATAAAGGAGGATACTTCAACCATGACAGAAGAAGAATTGCAAGCCCACCAAGGACTTCTTGCCGTGCTTAAAGAAGAGCTGGGTCTTAACTGATTTGTTATGTTGTTTGGTGTTTTTATCATTCTATAATTTAAATTTTATGCATTGTTTATCTAAGTTATTATGTATTTTGTTTAATTTTATGAGTGTAAGTAATGTTTGTTGGTGTTTGGTCTATTTTGAAAAAAACTCGTTATATTCACTTGTTTTTTTTTAACAACACGTCTAACTCGTTGTTATTCTATAAAATTAAATTCATTTAGTTTCAGAGACTAAAATAATGTCAGCTTTATTTCACCAAAAATAACATACATATTACTATGCAGTACAATGCTTATCTTATCGATTCAACAACCACATTTAATTTATTACCCACTATATACTTTTCACCTAATACATTAATACCTAACACACCAACCACTACAATATAACACATATCACGTTATTACCTAACACACCACACTTGTCACCTACTACACCATACATGCCACCTACCACCACATATGCCACCTACTGCCACCCACTACCACACATGTCACCTAACACAATCACCTACTACCACACATCCCACCTAACACAATCACTTTTAACTATAAATAGTATAGTATCCTATGCTCCAAAACTACATCCAAAAACATCTTTCAATTCCTTATTCTTTCTTTTTATTTTTTAAAATGGCTGGCCGTAATAATAATAAAGTCTCATATCGTGCTTTCTTCAACGATATGCTTGACGATTCTTTGGAGCAAGCTGAATTTACCTTGATGGAGGCCACGGCTATGCAATTGCAGCAAGACGGACAAGAGGAAAGTTCAACTAGGCGTGAAAGACGAGAAGTGCCTCAAAATCGTGAAGCTGGTCATACCCTACTAATAAGAGATTATTTTGCTCCCGATCTCATATACCACGAAGGCTACTTTCGTCGTAGATTCCGTATGTCCAAACGATTGTTTGTTCGGGTCATTCAGGATGTCGAAGGACATTCTAATTATTTTACATGTAGAGCAGATGCATCACGACAACCAGGTTTTACACCAATTCAGAAGTGTATTGCGGCTATACGTCAACTAGCATACGGAGCTCCTGTCGATCAATGTGACGAATACCTTCGTATGTCAGAGCAGACGGCGAATCGAAGTCTGCTCGAGTTTTGCCGTGCTGTGCGAGAAATATATGCACCCCAATATTTGCGCCCCCCAAATGCCAATGACATCCAAAGAATAATGGCATTGCACGAGAAGAAACATGGTTTTCCTGGCATGTTGGGAAGTCTAGATTGTATGCATTGGGAGTGAAAAAATTGTCCAGTTGGATGGCAAGGCTCGTACGCTCGAGGGGATCATGGGGTACCCACGATTATGCCTGAAGCAGTTGCATCACAAGACTTATGGATCTGGCACGCATTTTTTGGGCTCGCGGGTTCACGAAATGATATAAATGTACTGCACGAATCTTCATTATTCAATGATGTTTTACATGGTGTAGCTCCAGAGGTCAATTTTGTGGTTAACGGGACTCAATATACCAAAGGGTACTACTTAACAGACGGTATCTATCCAGAGTGGGTTACATTTGTCAAAAGCTTTCAATGTCCAGAGGATCCAAAAAGGAAAAATTCAAGCAGAGGCAAGAGGCTGCAAGAAAGGACGTTGAGCGTGCTTTTGGGGTCCTCCAGTCAAGGTGGGCAATTATACGAGGTCCTTCTCGTTTTTGGTATAAAGAAGATCTTAGTGAAATTATGTTATCGTGTATCATTTTGCATAACATGATAATTGAGGACGAAGGCGAAGAAGCTACCAACTGGTCTAATGATGAATGGGAACCACCAGCGCTGGCGCGTGAAGGGGGGTCTTTAAATTTTTGCGCTACTTGCAGATAAGAGCTGAGGTGCAAGACAGACAAATTCATCATCGGCTTCTACACGACTTGGTTGAACATATTTGGAATGAACCTACTGCTCAAGATTAATTTTTTTTTTAAAAAAAAAAAAAATTGTACTCCAAATTTAATTTTCAACATTATGTAAGTTCTATGTTTCGTATTTTTTATAAATAAAATTTTACATTCGTATGCACTTAACACTTCATAATTATAAGTAATAAAATATAATTATATATATATATATATATTTTTTTTTTTGTAGATGTAAATTTTATAAATATATAAAATATTTACATTTAATAAATAAAAAAAGTAGAGTTATAGTTTTAAAGTATTAACTAATAAAAATATAAGAGTATAATATTAATTAAAAGTAAGTGGGAAACATGTGGGACCATGAAAAATGAGGTTTATGAGGTTTATTGTTATTGGAGGTTTATAGGTGTAGGAGTAAGGATGATGTGGCATATTGGGAAGTGTAAAAGTGAGGTTCATGGATGTTTATGTTTTTTATTGTTAAAGATGCTCTAAATTTTATGTATTCAAATAAATTTGATTTGATTTGATAGAATAAACATTTTTCCTGTATTGAAATTTATATAAAATTATTGACATGATTTTTTTTTTTTCTAAAATTAATTTTCGTATTGGTTTCTTAAGCATAATAAAATTATTTTAATATAGTTGTTAAATTCCACCACACGCGATTGTTTTGTTTGTTTGTTTTTTTTTGGTCAAAGATGGCATAAATTAGTTCGTCTTCTTCTAAGACTGTCTACCACAAGCTGGCAAGCTGCCATGATTCTTTGCAGACATTCTTCAAGAAACGCTAATAAATATCTTTCCAACTTTCAAAAGAAACTTCAATCTTCTCAGCTCTCCCTCTATTCTGCCGCTACGCTCGAGTCTGAGACCCACTGCGAGGGTTTTAGTCTTCCAGATTCACGCGAAGCACACAACTTGTTCGACAAAATTCCCCAGCGAGATACCTCGTACTACAACCACCTGCTTTTCGGGTACTCACGCGACGGTCACAACAAAGAAGTCTTAAATCTTTACACATGTATTAATCGAACTGGAGTTCTTGTTGATGGGTGTACCTTTTCTTGTGTATTAAAAGCTTCTGCAAGTTTGCATAGTGATGCCTTTGGCAAACAGCTACATTGCCAGTGCCTTAAAAATGGATTATTTGATGATGTCAGCGTGGGGACCTCGCTTGTCGATATGTACGTCAAGAATGAGAATCTGTGTGCGGGGAAAAAGGTGTTTGATGAGATTAAAGATAAGAATGTGGTGACCTGGACTTCATTACTTGCGGGTTATGCGCAGAAAAGGATGATTCGGGAGGTTGCAGAATTATTTAGCTCGATGAGATTTGAGGGAGTTGAGCCGAATCCTATCACGTTTGCAGCCATTCTTGGGGCCTTGGCCAATGAGCGGGCCATACGGGTGGGTATCCAATTACATAGCTTGGTTATCAAGAACGGTTTGGATTCAGCTCGGGTAGTGGGTAACTCTTTGGTTACTCTGTATTCAAAATGTGGAATGGCCAGAGAGGCTAAGGATGTGTTTGGCGACACTGAGGGTAGAGATGCAGTGTCCTGGAACGGGATGATAGCAGGCCTCATCGCGAACGGGCTTGAGTTGGAGGCTCTCAACACATTCGATGGAATGAGACTTGCTGGTGTAAAGTTCACGGATACTACTTTCCTTACCATGATTAAGTTATGCTCGAAACTTAAAGAATTGGGTTTTGCCAAACAGATCCACTGCCAGGTCATCAAGACTGGGTTTGTTCATCTTGAAAACATTCGAACAGCTCTCCTGGGGTGCTACATGAAAACCTGCGAGATGGATGATGCGGACAAGATTTTTTGTGGGATGGAAACAGTTCAAAGTGTGGTATCATGGACGGCCATGATCGGAGGATACTTACAGAATGGGAAAATTGCACAAGCAGTAGAAATGTTTGTGCGAATGCGAAAATGTGATGTTAAGCCAAATCAATACACTTATTCGACAGTACTCGCTTCTCTTGAAACCACTTCTTTGTTTCAAGTGCATGCAGATATCATCAAAACAAATTACGAAAGCTCGTCCTCTGCAGGGACTGCTTTGCTCAACGCTTACATAAAGATGGGCATGACGAATTATGCTGTAAAAGTTTTTAGACAAATTAAAGAGAAGGACATTGTTGCTTGGTCTGCAATGTTAGTTGGATATGCCCAAGAAGAGGATATTGAAGGTGCCGTAAATTTTTTTCGCCAGCTGACCAAGGAAGGTGTTATCCCAAATGAGTTTACCTTCTCGAGCATAATAAATGCATGTGCTACATCCTCGGCAGCTACTGAACAAGGGAAATTATTCCACGCATGCTCGATCAAATCCTGTTGTAATAGTGCTTTGATCGTGAGCAGTGCCCTTCTAACCATGTACGCTAAAAAGGGAGATATCTCAAGTGCCAATGAAGTCTTCAAGAGGCAGCATGAACGTGACTTAGTTTCTTGGAACTCGATGATCTCGGGCTACGCACAGCACGGTTATGGTGAAAAGGCACTGGAAGTGTTTGATGAAATGCAAAAGAAGAAATTGGAAATGGACGAGATTACATTTATCGGTGTTATTTCTGCATGTACTCACAGAGGTCTAGTGAAAGAAGGTGAGAAATATTTTGACTTAATGGTGAACAACCTCCGTATTTCTCCCACGATGGAGATTTATTCGTGCATGGTTGATTTGTACAGTAGAGCCGGTATGTTGGACGAAGCTGTATCTGTAATTACCAAAATGCCCTTTCCAGCCGGCCCAACTATTTGGTGTACACTCTTGGCTGCATGCCGGGTGCACCGAAACTTAGAGCTGGGCAAGTTTGCAGCTGAGAACCTCATTTCGTGTCAACCACAGGACTCAGCTGCGTATGTCTTATTAGCTAATCTGCATGCCGTGACAGGAAACTGGCGGGATCGGTCGAGAGTAAGAAAACTGATGGAGGAGAGAAAAGTGAAAAAAGAAACGGGATACAGCTGGATTGAGGTTAAAAAGAAGACATACTCATTTGTGGCCGGGGATGTTTCGCATCCTTTGTCTAATAAAATATATATGAAACTTGGAGAACTAAATGCTCGTTTAAGGGACGTCGGATATAAACCGGACACGAGTTACGTGCTCCATGATATTGAGGAGGAACAAAAGGAGGCCATCCTCTCTAGGCACAGTGAGCGGCTGGCTATTGCATTTGGGTTGATTTCTGTACCGTGTGGTATTCCAATAAAGATCATAAAGAATCTTAGAGTTTGTGGTGACTGCCATACTGTGATTAAGCTGATATCCAAACTGGAAGGCAGGGAAATTGTCGTGAGGGATTCAAACCGCTTCCATCATTTTAATGATGGCTCGTGCTCTTGTGGAGATTACTGGTGATAGGTACTGCTTTTGAGGTTTTTTTCAGATAATTTTATACGTTAAAGAGATTTGAATTGAGAAGAGAAAAGTTATGCATGCATCTTTCAGTGTCTACCCGACAGAAGACTGGAAAAGAAACATAGCTGAATTTGAAAAATAAACTCTTGATTGCAGTTTTTATTTACAAAATGAGTACCAGATTTATACGGAAGAGTACGAGATTGGCTGGACAGAGATGGTAGAGAAACTCAAGCCAAAGCTAATTTGTGTTTCCATTTGTTCATTGCCATGAGCATAGTTGAAGGTACAATAGGTTTAGTTCTATTTTGAGTTATGTCAAATTTTTTATGGCATGCCACTTCAAATGCAGTAGTAATATTATATCGAGTCATCAAGTTGGGTTTATGCAAATAATGACTTAAGCAATCCTATTATTGTATATACTTGTGTTGTAATAGAATATCATTATTAAAATCTTGATGACAAGAAATGTCTTACAATCATGAAACTCGGTATTTTCATTTCATTAATATGCCTCCTAAAAAGTACGTTAAGACCAATAGGACTCCTCACCACACTCCATCGGCCAACTACAAATTCCACATTATTTGTCTCATACGGCATAAAATCTGTCTTAGTAAATATTTTTCTCCTATTTTTTCGAATCTTAGCCCGTTAGGAATGACTGGAACATTAACACCAGCTGGATGGTCTATTGCTAACTTGTACACAGTGTGTTCTTCTCCATAATATTTCACTGTTCCATGCACGTATATGTTTCCTCCTAGATTGGAGACTCCATTGATGGGTAGTTAAAATCATATTAGGAAATGTAGGTCCATTTTTGCAATATGTATTCTGATCAGTTAGGTTTTCCAGCTGAGCAGCGCTTGCACAAGTGATACGGAGAGAACAAATTATGTTGCCTGTGTCAAAATCATAAATCAATCCAGGATCAATTGCTGCCTTTGGATTGACAAGTCCCGATCCATAATCAAAAGGTGAGGTTTCAATGCCGTTTGGATGCCTTGTGATGAAGCGTTATCATGTTATCTTGATTTGTTATTGTTCCAAGAATAGACATTAGTTTGAAGAAACTATTATGAGCTGATGGTTTTGGAGATGTTTGGGTTCCTTTCCTTTGACAAGCATATTGTCAAAGATGCATATTAAAAAAAAAAAACAATGTTTGAGAAGTATTTTCATCTAAAATAGTTCTCATTCTTGAGGCTAAAGATCAATACAGCTTCAAAACTCAGCTGAAAATATTCAAACTTGAAAATAAATTCTTATAATCAAATCCTCTTTGATATGGAAACGATTAATTTCTTTTTACTTTTCCTACGTTTGGTAGTTAGGAATATCCGAGTATGTGAATTGTAGATGAATGATTTTTTTTTTC